CACACACACACACAAAAGATAGATATGGTAAAAGGCATTAATCACCATGTAAGGTAAAAAAAATAATGTTATGACACCACAATGTTGCAAAACATGAGTGGAAAGTGATGTGACTGAAGAGATTATTTTAAGCAGCAAGTCACTGAACCCCTGAAAATTCAAACAAGTGTGAAAATTTAAGGAAGAGGGACGCAATTTTCTACGACCTCTAAACGCATTAAGCATTTCTGCCAAAAGGATGATATTCAGGTTTATTACATCTGTGGAGCTCTGTTTTTTAGTAGAACATGGTAGGTCTTTCACAATAAACACAGTGTAAATTCTAGAAGAATAAGTCCCATCAGATCCAACGGCTAAGTCTCCAAAGTGTCTGTTATACGTTCAACTGAATGAAATTGTATTTATAGAAAAATCACCATTTTTCAAATCATCCTGTCTCATTTGGCAGTTCCAGAAAGTCATCCAGAGGCAAACAACATGCGCCTGAAGAGCGGGGCCAGGACTCAGAGACCCAGGTCCTAACGTCAGATGGCCCGTTGAACCGTTAGCCACACTACGCACGGCTGCAGGAACACTCGGATGGAAACAGAGAGACTGATCCCAACTAGAGAGTTTCAAATTTCTGAACAAACTGAAGAGATACCCAAAAGGATCTAAGATTATTGATAAAGCCCCATGTCAGCAAGTGCCAAAGGGGAGCAGAGCAGAGGGTGACCATATCAGGTGCTCAATTCCAGCGCAGTTTGCCCGCGTGCTTGTTGCTGCCTCTGGGGTCTGAACACCCTTTTCAAAGGTACCTGGTATGTCAAGGTGATGGAAATTACACAAACGCACCCCATGGCAAAAAAAAAAAAAAAAAAAAAAAGAAAAAGAAAAAAGAAGAGAAAAGAAAAGAAAAAATAGGGTCAGGGCATGGCTGGCAAGTGTGGCTTTGGTGCTGTTGCTGATCTTGACAAAACAAACACTGGTTTCACAATCAGGATTTTTTCAGTACATGTACAGTACACAGTACGTGATCTTGAGACCTCGGGACGAGGAGGTGTGGTTAGGAGGAAAAACAAAAAGACTGCAGTCAAGATCTATCTTTTATTTTCTGTCATACTGCAAATGCTTCCAGAATCCCATTAAAGGATGAACTTTAGGGAGATCACTTTGCATCCAGGACTCAAGTGCCTGCCCGCCTGGCACTCACCGTAACAAGTCCTTAGTGTTCCATTCCAGAATGATAATATCAATATTTTTCTTCAAACCCACAGGCTTTTCCCAGAGATCTAAGAACTGTTGACTTAGTCCTCATGCTGCCATTCCAGGTGAGTCACTGGGCGAGTGACCTGTGGGTGGCAGGTTCCGAGTCTCTGGGCACATATCTCTGGAAGTCAACAATGACTTTCCACATTCAAAACCTCATATCCCATGCCCTTCAAAACTGGGAAGCATAATCATTTTAAATGATTTCTCGTGTAATTAGTGTTCTCGCAGGACTCAAGAGCAGTACAACATTATATCCCCTCGAATGAAGACATCCTACGCCCACCAACCTACTTTGTATCGACTGGAAGAGATGGGATCCTACCTCCTTTGACAATCAAGTGAATGAAGAGTAAACCTGTCCACAGTCTTAGGATCCTAAGGAGCCTGGGGTTGTATTCCTAACTATTGGAGAAGAGCCATGGCTAGATGGGAGAACCTGCTGGAGGAGGCACCCCTGCGAAGTACACCACCATTAATTTGCTTTAATCTGACTCCAGAAGTGTGTGGCAGCTAGACTTTCCCTTTTCTTGAAGTCCAAATAAATGCCTCTTACACCGTTCTAATTCTCCCTGATTGTGAGATAATCCCAACACTACCGTGAAACCTATTCCCAGCCATGTAAGTGGGGACACTTGTCTCCTGTGTGATTGTCCAATGGAACCAAAGGAGATGTATGAACAAGCACACTAAGGCATTATACGACAGATCGGAGGCTTAAAGACCTATGTAACAACCCTAAGTTACTGCAAGCTGCTGCATACTGAATGTTCCTCACAGTCAGCTGGTAAGAGAAGTTCCATCATTCCAGGAGGCAAGCAGGGGTTTGCAACAAAGAGATTTTTAGAAAATAAAACCACCAACCAGAGCCAATGCACATGTGGGCTCACACATACCCTCACACCCAGAACCACCCACCACCACCACCACCACCAGCAGCATCCTCCTCTCTTTCTGGGATGGAGGCCATACTCAAATAAGGGTTTTGTATTAAAGTGACATGACGAGATGCAAGACGAGATGGGGACTACCCTATTAATTTGGCACATTAAAGGTAAGCATGGGAAGAGCGGATGTTTCTGAGATCCACGCTCACTGCTGCAGCCCCTCCACGAAGGAGGATTAGGACATGAGCTCACACAGAGAAACAGAGGTGCGGATCCCTATGGAAACATCCTGACATTGTTCCTAATTCGCAAAGCTTCCTCTCTTCAGGGTCCTAACTGCAACTCGGACATGACAACTGCCAGGCTTCTAGAACAGTAATGACCACTTTTTGTGTTGAAATATCTACTTTCCTAAAAGCCAGAGCTGCTTGCAATCTTTTTAGTGGGTAGAAAACCCACGTGGGAAGTACAGAAGAGAACGTCAGGACAGTGATTATTTTGGGAAGGCAGAAAGGAGAAACGTACTGGAGATGAGGGTGGTTAACTGGATATTCCTTTAAAAAAAAAAAACAGAGATCTGCAGTAAACATACTGTAATGTTAACATTCGTTCAATGTGGGTGGCAGGTACCCAGATATCTATTACACACATTTATTTTTAAGTTTTTCTGCATGTTTGAGGTACTTTATATATATATTTTTAAAAAGGTAAAATGTTTTAAGTGTGAAAAGGAGACGCGAAAAGCGCAAAGAAAACGCAGGCTGGCGTCTAAGAATGGGAGGTGGCAAAGTCCAAAGCTGCTCCGATTAAATGTAATTGCCAAGCAACACAATAAATACACACGAGCCTCCTGGGAGCACTAACATCCCAGATAACGCACACCAAAGTTAGAACCCACTTAATAGTCTTACATCTTATCCCTAGACTTTTGATAGCAATCTTGTTAACAAAAGGCACCATTGGTACACTTACCCTTTGCCAAAAGAAATGCATGCCTCTATTTGAAGATGTACTGAAGGAAGTGTAGTATCAGTCTAACGTGCATTTGTTAATCTAGATGAAAGCCTAACTTGAGGGGGCCTAAGGAAGGCAGCTTGCCTGTCAGCACTAAAGCCAGGTAGGATGAGAGCGTAAGCGGCACAGAAGTAAACATTTCTGTTTAGCATTCAGAGAACAGCAGCAAGATTCAGGCCCGTGCTAACAAACGCAGCTGTTGGCCACGGAGAAACAGCGCAAAAAATCCACAGCTTTCTCCTCAAGGATCCTCTGCCAAATGGTCCACACCAACAACGGAATGACAGCCATTTAGAGCCAACGCGGCCTCCATGGGCCTTGTCCCCAGCTCTTCCACGTATGTGCTTCGGTATATATAATATCGTGAGATCATTAGATCAGGATACAAGGCTAGAACGGCTACCACTATGTCAGCTCTGTGAACAGGTGTTACCACCTGAACATACGCAAAACCTAGAAATATCACAGGGGCTCCAAACTGTTGGCATAGGAGACAAGACCGGCCCATAAATACTTTGTTAGCCTCACACGTCACTTTTCTAACCCTTGAATTAGGACGATACTAATTGTCCTAATACTAATAACACTAAATACTAATCTGGATTTCTGTATTCTCTTCTCTAAATGTCAGAAGGTCCGGCAACACTGGGCTGGTGCGAGCTAAGTGGCAGCTGCTCAGGTTACATGGGGTCTGTTCACCACAATCCCCACCAGGTCTCAGCATCCACACTCCCCAGCATCCCTTGTAATGCTGCTTGCCCTGTCCCTGCAGGCATTGCAGTCCGTGGCATATACTAAGCATGCCACACCTTGGAGGCATTGGAAGTGAATAAACTCTCCTTAGAACAGAATCAGGGGTTAGGATGGAGATGGGGAGAAAGGGCTCAGTTTCTACAATTCTGAATTCTAACGCAGGGTAGACGAAGGGAGGAAGAATCCGACCAGAAGTCGTTCCCATCATCAGCATCCGTCCATTCCCATGGCCCTGTTATGAGACCAACTCCTTTTCTTAGCCGGCGTGTCCCCTGACTGAATACATGAGATTCCGGACTCCGAACAATGCTCATTTCAGCTTAAGAGGGAATCACTTCTGCACCCATGTTGCCTAAGGGACTCACAGAGGTGTACTGGCTTGTTTTTGATGCAATGCTCCCACCACCCAAGCCAGCCATGGAAATTCCTTTCTACTTGGTAATGCATCAGATGCCCACAGATGCTGTGCCCAAACTCCTATCAAGTAAACTCAGCAGCACACTGTGACATTTGTTAAGCCAGGAGGAAGAGAAATTATAGCTATAAACAAAAGAGGTTTGATGCAGAGAAGATGAATTACTCATCAACACAAAGTAAGTGTCAGACACGCTCACACAAAAGATGCACAGAAGGAAATCAGCTGCAAGAACACATACATGTGTCTAAATTAAATGAAATTTCCAAGGAAGAGCCATCATAAACTCCCTATTGACCACAGACAAGCATACATGTTTGTATATATATATAGCCATGATTATGATAAAGTTCAGGATAGATTAAGTTACCTCTCCATATACACTATATTAAAAAAATATGAGAAAAGATTATCAAGCAGGAAAAAGTTCCAGAGTATAGTATATTGGTGTCACAGCACCTCATTTTGTCAAAATCTAATTTTCCTAATCAGAAGTGTCAAAATTCATATTCTCACTAGTGCTCGAAGAGTTTCAAGAAACATTTCAGGACCTAAAATGAAGAATCTTTCTCTTTCGGGTCATAGGATCATTAGCAGAAAAAATTAAAACCACATCCAGACCTAATTTCCACAACTTGGTTTTCTCCTGCCCACAGATTGGAAAGAAAAAGGTAAACACTTACCGCAGAGAGCTGGCTCCATGTGGACCTCAGTGGCTTGTGGTGAATCACAATTTTTTCATCTGACTTCTGCTCTTTGGGCTCTGACTCTTCATCAGAGTCAATGTCAAGAGCTTTTTCTTTGTAGTTCTGATATAGGACAGCATTTTCTGCAACAAATACAAACCCTGTATGTCACTAACTGCCATTATCATGCTACTTGTTCTAAACAAACATCCGTATTTATACAATGTTTGGTCTCCAGGTTAATAAAGAAGTGAATGGATTTTGTCGCTGAAAAATTATTAACCAAAAAATGACTTTTCTCACTCATTTAGCTCTGCCTCAAATTCATGGGTAGGGCAAGGGGAGGGATCCATACATGAAATAGCAACTGAAGCAAAGTTCCCATGTCTCTGTCCACCACTCATGGAGGAGAGCTGTGCATGTTAAATCACTATTTTTTTTTGGGGGGGGGAGGGTTAAACTGGATTCACACCCTACCTTTCCTTCAATGTCCATCACCATTCATTACCTATTTTAAAAACATCTACTGTATACCTACAATGTGCCAACGGCTGGGAGTAAATGGAAAATAGAAGACTTTTTTCTTGTGCCCTCATGAGCTAAAAATAGGAAAAGCTATTAGTCCATGTCACTCAATCATGTATTCATTCGGCTGATGTTTAGAAAATGCCTACTTGAGGCCAACAATGGCTAGGCATTAGGAATACGACGATGAACAAGAAAGATAAAAATCTCCGTCTACATAGAGCAGACATTAGGGTGAGCAGAGAATGACAAGCAATAAGCCAAGAACTTATGTCAGATGCTGGTACGTCATGGAGAAAAATAAAGGAGGGAAAGCAGGGGAGCGTTACAAGGGGGTCATGCAGGTTTTAAATAGGGTGATTTAGGAAGTCCTCACCACGATGACATGTAAGAAAAGACCTAAAAGAGGTAAGAAAGCAATCCACCTTACAGCTGGGGAAAGAATACACCATTGGAGGGAGCAGCAAGTACAAAGGTCCTGGGACAGGAGTCTGTTGCATACTCTATACGTACAAGGATCAACAAGGGAGGCCTAAACGGATGAACTGGGTGAGGGAAGGGAGAAAGTTTAAGAGATAAGGGCTGGGAATGTACAGGGGGCAGATCATGGAGGCCCTTGCCTCAATGCCATTCAAAGGGCTCCTCTGGTTTTCACTCGGAGTGAGAAGGCAAGTTATCATTGGATTGAGAACACAATGATCTTGTACATAAACCTACCTATAAACTGAATGATCTATATACAGGTGCTCTGAGAACAGTCTCAGCAGGGTGTGACCCAGTCTGGGAGTCAGACAGGTAGGTGTTACTAAGAAAAATCTAAGATCTGAAAGCTGAGAAGCTACAGAGATAAGGAGTGAGCATATGCAAAAGCCCTGAGGCAGGAAGAAACACAGTACCTTAGAAGAACAAAGGCAAAAGTCCACGGGTAGAGAGCATGGGTGTCTAGCGGACAGAGGGGCAAGGTGAGTTTAGGGAGATGAGCCAGATGGTCTAAATCAAGCAGAAGGGATCCCTGGGTGGCGCAGCGGTTTGGCGCCTGCCTTTGGCCCAGGGCGCGATCCTGGAGACCCGGGATCGAATCCCATATCGGGCTCCTGGTGCATGGAGCCTGCTTCTCCCTCTGCCTGTGTCTCTGCCTCTCTCTCTCTCTCTCTGTGACTATCATAAATAAATAAATTGAAAAAAAAATTAAAAAAAAATAAATCAAGCAGAAGTCTGCAGGCAATGGTAAAAAAAAAAAAAAAAAAAAACTGGATTTTATCCCAAGTACAGAACAACTGGATTTCCTTCACACAGCAAAGACTGTATTTTATCCTGCCGCCAGTGGTAATCCACGGAAAGGAAAGGTTTGATTCTATCCTTGGAGCAAAATACTGACTGTGTAGGGGACCGACGAGGATTACTATGGAAAAATAGAGACTTGGGCTATTAGGGATGGACTGGAGGTAGGGCGGGGGGGGGGGGTGTCAGAGAAAGGGATGTGGTAAGGATGTTGCCTAGGTCCCTAAGTCTGCAGGCGCCAACAAATGCACAGCAGGACATGGCAACCCCTAAAGACCTTCACCTTTAAAGGGAAAGACAATGAATTTGGTTCAGGACATCCTGAGCTCACAACGCCTTTCCCACCTACCAAAGCTGGCAAACATCCACCTCCTCTCTCATCAACTGCTGCGGGTTCCGCAGGCACCACGACTAAAATAATACTGGAGTCAATTGCGCGATTTTACTGTCCTCTGATTGTTTTGCACATGTAAAACCGATTATGAGGGTAAAGACCCGGTTACCACACCTCTGTAGGGCTCTTTGAAGTCCTCAGTGGTTGACACAAAACCCATGCATACACTGCTGATAAGATGCCTCGTTTGTTCCCACAACGCAGGCAATAGTATCGTTAGCCTCCTCTCAGACATGATAAAACTAAGGCTCCATGAGGTTACGATGCTTGCTCATTGTCACTCCACCGATGGACAGAAACAGTAGGATAGGAACCCAGGTCCCGGGCTCCACCATTAGAGGTTCTTACCACTTTACTGCACCTGATCCAGAGCTACATTCTTGTTAGTCATTAACTGTAGGCATTCTGTATTCCTCATGTACACATGTGTGAGAAAAATTTCTAGGTCATTATATTTGAGAAGAGACACGAGAGTGCACAGAAACAGCTCCATCTAAAAGGAGACAACACAGAACTGCAAAAGAGCTGTGTCCTCTGACATTTAAAAAAAAAAAAAAACCCTCAACATTTCTGACCCTTTGAGACAAAGATCCCAGAATCAACGTCAAATTCGAGAAGATGCAAAACATCTCTCTAAATACCTATTAGGTAGATGCTCTGTTCACTTCATGGTCACAAAGGGATATAAGAGGAAGTAACCCAGGGCAGTCCAGGTGGCTCAGCGGTTTAGTGCTGCCTTCAGCCCAGGGCGTGATCCTGGGGACCCGGGATCGAGTCCCATGTTGGGCTCCCTGCAAGGAGCCTGCTTCTCCCTCTGTCTGTGTCTCTGCCTCTCTCTGTGTGTGTCTCTCATGAATAAATAAATAAAAATCTTATTTAAAAAAAAAGGAAGCAACCTGGACTAAGAACCAGCCACATGTCCTAGGACAGGCTGTGTGACAGTGGGCAAGGCACTAAACCTCTCCGAGTTCCCAGTTTCCTCTAATTATAAAACCGGGGAGATGAATTTATCCAAACCAGCTAAAATACTGTATCAGGGTCTCTTCTCCCTATAGTTTCCTGAGATTGGTGCAATGAAAACTGTTTTTTAATCTGGTCCTGTGCAACTACTCCAAGGGAGCTGATGTTGATAAGAATTATTATCGGGAAATAGTTTATAATCACCTAAGATTTACGTATTTTACAACTCTGGGTGATTCTTTATTTACCCTTCTTCATGACTCTTTAAAGGTCAGAAAATCCTAATATTTCAAAGTATGATAGGAAGTGACTACATTCAGCTCCACTGTGCTCTGCAGGTGGGCTGGCTGTTCACTCGCTTCCCACTGCTCTTCCAGTCGGTTGACACTTGACCCCTCTGTTTACCAAAGTCCACTAATCTGATTAGGGCTTGAACACCTGGCTGAAGCAGCTTTTCTATACGGGTTACAGATTCTTAGGACTATGTTTCTAGCAGCCAGGAGAGTTAGATTTCCCCAAAATTGAAACTTGATAAGCAAACAGGAAGTCAGAAGTGACACTAAAATGTGGAAATATGGGGAAAAGAATAATTAAGTCAAAGGGAATATGACTTAACTTAACAGCTAAATGCCAAACTTGGGATTTTTTAACTAAAAAGCTAGACTAGCTCTCACCCTTTTTCCATTTTTCAAGGGAGGCGAGGATAGAGTCAGAGTAGATAAGAATTAAAAATCCAGGACACTGGCAGACAAAGTTATCAGTTTACAAAGAATGCCGTTAATTCCATTCACTGCTGGTATTACTGGATGAAAATTTAGCTTAGTGCAGAGCTTTGTACTGTATAATTTGGGAAGAAGTTGGACATTTTTCTCATCTTAAGTGTTTTTGTTACTGCAGTTGGATTTCAACTTATAATTGATATTCCACATTGAAGCAGCAATAAAAGTCTGGAAAATCAAATGCTTACCTTCCCCATCAAATGTTCCTTGTCCTTTCAGCATTTTTTTCTAAGAAACAAGCAAAAAAAAAAAAAAAAGGAAAAAGCAAAGCAAACTATGTATGAATGAGCCAAATAAAAAAAAATACAGCTATTTTAAGAAGAAGTACTTGTTACATTCATTGGATTTCCAAAAGCATACAGCAGATGATCCCTTGAGTAGTTCACTCATCTGACTACAACCCACTAAAATGGTGAAATAAAATGTACAATGTCCCCCACACCCCAGCAAAACAGCTTGAGAATCCTCAAATGACCAGCACTTCAGCTCATTTCACTACTCAGGGTTCACCAATCACTGTTAAATTCAACTCTGCTATACTTGCAGAGGTGAGGGGGTTGGGAGGGGACCCCTAAAATGTTATGTCATTTCTTTAAGGCCATGAGAGCAAAAATAAAATAGCCCGACTTGGGTATTACATATTGACGCTTACACAGACTGTTTCCAGTTCTCTGATTAATCAAGAAAAGTGGTGGCTGCCAAAATGAATTTCTGCTGAGATCTGTCTAAACTGTTCCCAGAGAAAGCGGCACATGCACACTCCAAAATATCCTTCTTTAGTTTTCCCCGTCCCTTCGTCATATTTGGCAGTATTTTTAATACGCGCAACTCCCAGGCCTTTATCAGGGAGTAATTAATACACACGGCTCAGTTGAACCAGAAGTTCCGAGCTACCAACTTGTTAAATGCATCCAAGAATAAACGGGCACAGCACGGGCATAAAACACAACCACAGACGGTGGCGAAAGACACCAGCAACAACAGAGATGACAAACTCTCTGTATCTTCTGTAATTCTGGCAAATAACTTTAAAAATCACATTTTGGGGATCCCTGGGTGGCTCAGCGGTTTGGCGCCTGCCTTTGGCCCAGGGTGCGATCCTGGAGCCCCGGGATCGAGTGCCGCATCGGGCTCCTTGCATGGAGCCTGCCTCTCTCTATGTCTATCATAAATAAATAAAATCTTAAAAAAATAATAAAAAAATAAAAATCACATTTTGCCTGAACGCTATGTGGTATGTTATCAGCACTGACCAAATCATTCTGCAATTGATTCACGTAGATAAGCCGCTTTCAATAAAGTAATCAATACGCTCAAAAGAAATCAGGAGTCAGTCGCCCGTGCCCCTGACAGGTGTCCCGAAGTGACACCTCTGATGAGCACCAGGTTGAGCACAGCGCCCAGGGCACCGGGCTGCTCTCCAGCCTCTCTGTTCAGCCCCCTGTATTCAAAGCGTTCAGCGCTCAGCCCATACCTGACTCGCTGTATTTCTTTTTTCACATTAGTCCCCCCACGTGTTGGCCTAAAAAGTTACAACAGCACTAAGCGTTTCCCTTCTTCCCACGAAGGTGCATTATTACCCTGGCTGTGACAGCCAGCATTGGGAGGGCCAAGAGGTCGGTGTGCACGGGTCTGACCCACAAAGAGAACTAAAAGAGAAGGATAAGGGATCCCTGGGCGGCTCAGCGGTTTAGCACCTGCCCTCAGCCCAGGGCATGACCTCGGGGTCCTGGGATCGAGTCCCACATCGGGCTCCCTGCATGGAGCCTGCTTCTCCCTCTGCCTGTGTCTCTGTCTCTCTCTCTCTCTCTGTGTGTCTCTCATGAATAAATAGATAAATAAAACCTAAAAGAGAGAGTGAGAGAGAGAGAGAGAGAAGGATAACTTCAGGTTTCCTGCGTGTCCCTGGCCCCCACCGCCAACCCCCTCCAACCCCCTGGCTTCCAGGGGCAGCAGCAGGAGGAGGGTGTGTGCGTAAGGGAGGGGGGAGGGGAGGGAGGGGAGGGGGACACACCTGCCTCCTCTCACCTTTATCCTTCCCAGGCTGGAAAACCTCTCCTTGTCTTCCATCACCGCTCTGAGCACGGGCTGGGACATCCTGTTCTTCTTCTTGGACGTGGTGGGGCTGTCCAGGTCCAGGCCGCTGACCACGGCGCGGCGGTAGGACGTGGAGCGCAGGCCCCTGCGCAGGGAGCCCGGGCTGCCGGCGTCGTGCTCGGGCTCGGGCTCGGGCTCGGGCTCGGCCTGCGCGTCCTGCGCGCCTCGGTCCTGCGCGTCCTGCGCCCGGAGGCCCTCCACCATGCTGCGCACCTTGAGGAGCCTCCTGTGGGGCTCCCCGTTCTGCAGCGGGGCCTTGCCGGCTCGGACCTCGGAGGCCAGGCTCCTGGGAATGAGCTGCCGCTTGCCCACCTTGAGCGCGGCGGGGCTGTTGGTGCTCAGCACCACGCAGGGGCCCCCCGGGGCCGCGCCGTCCTGGGCCCGCCGCGGCGGGGCCGCTCTGCGCTCCGGGGACCCGCTCCGGGGCGCGGCGGGGGCCCGCGGGGGGCGCGGGGCGGGCCGCTGGGCGGGGGGCGAGGGCGGGGGGCTGCAGGGCGAGCTGGCGCTGCGCGGGGGGCGCGCGGCCCCGGAGGCCTCGGCTGGCGGCCCCGGGGAGCCGGCTCCGAGGTCCGGGCGCAGCGCCCTCCCGCCGGGCACCGGCCCGCGCTGCGGCCGCGGGGGCGGGGGGCTGCCCTGCCCGGGGCTGCCCGCGGAGGCGCCGCGCGCCCGGGGGGGCGGGGGCCGCGGGGCGGGGGGCGCCCCCCGGGCCTCCGCCGGCGAGTCCGCGCGGAGCGAGCCGCCGGGGCTCTGGCAGGACTGCGGCCGCGGCTTGCTCCGGCCCGGCGGCGGCCGAGGGGTCGAGCGTCTCCGCCACAGCGGGGTCAGGCTGCCCGGGAAGTCCACGCGGCTCTCGCCGTCCATAGCGGGGTCGCCGGGGCGCGGTCGGTCGGGCTCGCCTGGGCGGGAAAGAGAGCGTGGAGCCCGCGCGCCCTCCCGCGGGGCTCGGCAGGGCAGGGCAGGGCAGGGCACGGCAGGGCAGCCCCCCCCCCCCCAGGAGCCCGCCACCCGCGCGGGCTGCCAGCCGCTGCTCCCGGCGCCCGCGCCCCTCCAGCCGCCCCGGCCCCCCGGGGGACCCCGCGCCCCGACCGGCCGCTGTACCTCCGCGGCTCCGCGGCGCCCAGGGCCCACGAGCATCCCCGCCCTCGGGGGCCGGGGGCCGGGGGCCGGGGTCGCGCCCAGTCGCCGCAGCCGCAGCCGCAGCCGCAGCCCCGCCGAGCTCGCCGGCCGCCCGCTGCCCCGCGGCCCCGCCCCGCCCCCCGCCCCGCGGCCCCGCCCCCGCCCCGCCCCCGGCCGCCCGCGGGCTGGGTGCCGGCTCGGGGCTCCGCGCCGGGAGCCGGGGGCGCAGCGTGGGAACCAGCGTGGGAGCCCGGCCGCTTGCAACTTAGAGAGCCCCGGGGCGGGCCTGCGGGGCGACAGTCGGGGCCTCGCCCGCGCTCCCGGGGCCGGCAAACTCGCGTGTGCGGGCCCCGCTGCCCCCGCGGGCCACGGCCCGGCCGTAGCGGAGCTCCCGGGGCGGGGGGGGGGGGGGAGGCGCTGCGTGCGAGGAAACTGAGGCCAGCGGGAGTTTGCATTCAGGGATTCGGGATATCTTGGGCTTTGCGGGGGGGGGGGCTTGTTCGTTTTGTGTGTGTGTTTCTTTAGAGAAGGGAAAGGGCAGAGAGACTGACAATCTTACACTACACCCCCCGCTATGGGGCTGGATCCCAGGACTCAGCTCCATCCCGACCTCCCGAGGAAAAGAGGAACCATCCAGGTGCCCAGAATAGTTTGTGCTTTTTTTTTTTTTTTTTAAGATTTTTATTTATTCATGAGAGACAGAAAGAGAGAGAGAGGCAGAAGAGGGAGAAGCAGGCTCCATGCAGGGAGCCCGATGCAGGACTCGATCCCGGGTCTGCAGGATCACACCCTGGGCCGAAGGCAGGTGCTAAAGCGCTGAGCCACCCGGCCTGCCAATATTTTATGCTTTCAATCGTGAATTTTACCAATTAAAGATAAATGTAGCTAAAATGTATATATGTGCTTCTAAGCAGACCTCAAATAAAAGTTCAAAGTCCTCCGTAACTTACAAGGCCTTGCACAACCTGCCTACCTCTGCAGCAGTCTTTGCTCCCAATACTTTATCCTTCATTTTTTTCTTAGGCCACAGCCGCCTTTAAGCTTGACCACCCTAGAACCTGCCCTTGTGTTTCTCCTTGACCTTCTTACAGGTTACCCCATCAAAGACGACTTCCCTGAGCCCTCCAGAATCAGCCCACCGCCCTGCTTGTTTTCCCAGCCACCTGTTTTCTTCCTTTTCTATATTTAATGAGAATCTTCATGCATGCACACTTATTTTTGTGTTCGTGTTTATTATCTGCTTTATCTTCTTTAGGCTGTAAGCTTCAAGAGGGCAGGAGCTGTGTTGATTTATTGCCCCTCTGGATTCCAGACACAGAGTGGGCACTTAATAAGTTATTTGTTGAATGAGTTTCTGAAAGGAATGAAGTAAGGACAGAGAACATCTTTCCAGAGTGCTCCATTGCCAAATAGTGGAAAGTTGGTTGTATCCTGGCCAAGCTCCTGCTATGTGAGAAGAATAAGGCAAACTTGAGAGGACAAATGACCTTAAGATCTATGTAATTAATTCTATCAGCAAGACATATGGGCTGTTCTCCAAGTTCTCTTTCAGCATGCATGCATCCATCCAGCAGAGATACAGTGAGCATCCACTGTGCGCAACTTAAGCTACTCGTTTTTGCCCTACCTACGTTGAATGTAATGGCCAAAAGTATTGAGAGGCAAGCTCCAGGTTGTGAATAAAGCATGAGGTTTTTCATGTTTTATACTTTACTGTATTATCCAATGCTGTGCATGGAATATATACTACTTTGGTCAGAGATATTTCTGTAAAGAAGAAATAGCATCAAGAAATTTTTAAAAACATTTTTTCAGAAATTTAAGGAAGAAAAACAGCTGGTTACACATTCATACATACCCTCTTTTTAATACAGAACATTTTCTTTACTCGCATATATTACTTTTATATTGGAGAAGTATAATTTTAAAATGTTTAACTAGAGGCACCTGGGTGGTTCAGTGGTTGAGCATCTGCCTTTGGCTCAGGTAGGATCCCGGGACCCTGGGATCGAGTCCTACGTTGGGTTCCCCGCTGGGAGCCTGCTTTTCCCCTCTGCCTATGTCTCTGCCTCTCATGGATAAATTAAAAAATTAAAAATAAATAAATAAATATGCTTAAATAATGATAAATGAAGTGTTGTCTGATTCAGAATGCAATCTGTGACTTAAGTTATACGTGGTGCTAACAGAAACTAGCTTCTCTTAAACCTATGGTGGGTCTGCAAACAAGTGTAGCAGAGGATTGTAAAGAAGTCCCAGGATCTTCCTTCCTCATTCCTAGGCAACGGCATTATTCATGCCCGCCAAAACAATAACAAGACACCAAGTTCTGTTCCTTCACTAGGGGAAGTTTGGAAATTCACAGACTTACTGCCTATTTTAGCCTCCATTCAATTTATCATATCCAAATCAAAGACATCTTCAGTTGTACGAACCACCAAAAAAAAGAGTTGCCAATTAGACTATGACACAACATGTTATCATGTAGGATTTTTGTTTTCTGCTTATTTAAACAGCGCTTTTAGAATTAGACATCATATTTTACAGTAATATGCATTTAGGCCAATGGGAAAGGCAAGCAAAATAAATTAAGTATTTCTAAAAATTCTGTACAGTCAATCTAACTCTTCTGAATCCCTTTTCTCACAGAGCATCAGTATGTGTGGTTTTCTTCTCAATATCATTGATAGGGCAGCATTTCTTAAAAGAATATTCTAGTCTTGTCTCTCGAATTTGCTTCCTAGCCACTGACACTCATTCTGCAAGTCTGATGCTTGGTGCTATCCTATTTGACCAAAAGCGTAGTTTTATTGTTCAACTAAATCATCTGCTACTATAAGCTCTCCAGCTTCTCTGTTAATGGCCACAAGGAAGTTTCTGACAAATTAAATTCCGTGCCTTAACTATAGTCCTTCCTGTATGATACATGAGTTGCTTATATCAGCCTCTCGTTGCTTTAAATTTTCTGTTTTTAAATTTATTTACAATCTTTATTTTATTCACGAGAGACACAGAGAGAGGCCAAATTTCTTACACCTAATCTGACACACTGGGCGGTTACTTCTGCCTTCAATAGCATCTCTTATCATATGACTTTGACACATGTAGTATTGAGTGGCATAGAACTCAGTGAAATGATGACAATTAGAACGGTTAGGGCCATGCTCACAAATACAGAGGCAAGGCCAACTACATGTGACTGCCATTTGGCCAATGTCTATTTCTTAAAGTAAAACATATCCCAGTTTCAGATACATTGAAATGTGGGGCCAAAGTATTTCTTAGAACTGGGGAAATGCGTATAGTGTGTTAATGAGGAAAGATACATTCCAGTGACATATATATATATTTTTTTCTAATTTTTAAAAATTAAATTTTCCTGTTCTATTGAGTTATAATTGACATACTGTTGTACTATTTTAAGGTGTACAGCATAATGATTTGACATAGGTATATATTTCATTTTATTTTATTTTTTAAAATTTTTATTTATTTATGATAGTCACACAGGGAGAGAGAGAGAGGCAGAGACACAGGCAGAGGGAGAAGCAGGCTCCATGCACCGGGAGCCCGACGTGGGATTTGATCCCAGGTCTCCAGGATTGCGCCCTGGGCCAAAGGCAGGCGCCAAACTGCTGCGCCACCCAGGGATCCCCTGACATATGTATATATTTCAAAATGATTACAAGTTAGGTAACATGCATTACGTCGGTTGTAATTTTTGTGGATGATGAGAACTCTCTCGATTTGCTCTTAGCAACTTTCAAATATACAATAAAGTATTAACTATGATCACCAAGCTGTACTTTAGATCCCCAGAATTCACTTACAACTCTTAAGTTTGCACCTTTGACCATCTTCACTTCTTTCCCCCAATGATATTAAAAATATTCAATGGTATAAGATACCAGAGGCTGAGATACCAATTATTGCTGTATTTATGAAACCAATTTGCCTTGATCACTAATTACATGCCTGGCATGATAATTAGGCTATTCTTAAGTGTCATTTGTTAGCCAACTAGATCTGAAACATTAAAATAATAATACAAGGCACCCAACCTGAGTAAGACACGTGGTAAGCTCCCTGTTCCTTGAACACCTTTGTAAAGAAGTCTGGCTAGAACGAGGCCAGAATAATAGGAAAAATATTGTGAGATGCAGAACAAGAGGAGGGTAACCCAGAAGCATGTCCCAGCATGAGCAAAAACATGGAGGGATGACTGGAAAACATATTTCTTAAGTGCCAACTATATGCCAAACATTGTCCTTCATTACCTATAATTCAAACTCATTAATCCTGTCTCCACTTAAATATGAAGTGCT